CCCTGCCTAATTTTGTGACACCCTAGAGAGCCTTTAGATATCTCAAGGAGGTATTCTGTAAACCAGAGTTTGTTTAAATCTTAAAAAAGTGAGAATAAGATAGAATCCGTGTCATTGAGCAAGTGGAGGTTCATGCTATTGCAAAAACTTACTCTTCATTTCCACATTTGTAAATTGAAGGGTTGAAGTAGATCTTGGACTCTTTGAGGTGAAAGAGATAAGAGCAATAGTCTAATTTAGCCTTCCAACTCTCTTGACTCTCCCAACATGAAGCCATACAAAATAAGCCTGTTCCATATTCAATAAGTAGCTCTATAGCTATTTGAAAAGTGCCCCATTCTTCCTGTTTCCAGGTTAAAGTTCCCTGGTATTTTATGTGAGTGGATCTTTGTTACCTTTAGAAGTCTTCCAGATAATCAGTGTACCTTTATTCATTTATTCAGTCATCCATCCATTCATTCTGCCTATCCCAAGAACTTTTGTAAAAAGTTTTTAAACTGGGCGGAGTGCTGTGGCTAATGCCTGTGAGTAAATCTCACACTCTGGGAGGCTAAGGCAGGTGGATCGCTTGAGCTCAGGAGTTCGAGACTAGCCTGAGCAAGAACAAGACCCCGTCTCTACTAAAAATTGAAAAATTAGCGGGCGGTTGTGGTACGCTTGTAGTCCCAGCTACTTGGGAGGATGAGGCGGGAGGATCACTGGAGCCCAGGAGTTCAAGGTTGCAATGAGCAATAATCGAGCCACTGCCCCCCAGCCTGGGTGACATAGTGAAACCCCATCGCTTAAAATAAATAAATGATAAAATAAAAATAATATAGGGTTCTCCAGATCTGTTGTTTATTTGGAGTGAGATAATACATGTATGTAAAGAACTTAAGCCAGGGTCTGGTACGTAGAAAGCATTCAATTGACAGAGGCTAAATTTTCTAGCTCATTTCGCTTATTAGAACACACCTGCATCATCTTATTCTAATATTGAGAGGGTGGGAAAGTATACAGTGAAAATTCATTGTCTGTTTACTAAGCTATGGTTAGAGGGCTTTAAGGTGATTAGGAATAGCTTCTTTGCAGCTTCTGTTTCAGTTCCATTTTTTAGTGCTTAACGACATGTTTTATTTGGAAGCTTCAGTTTTCTTGAAGAAAAATGCTGTTATGTTAGTTTTGACTGGCAAATTTTGGAGGATTGAAGTTGTTAAAAACTTGAATGATAGAAGGTGGAAAAATGTCTTTTAAATACAGATGATCTTCTTTGGTTATGCAGATGCTATAGCAGTTATTCCTTTTGAGACAGAGTGTCACTCTCTTGCCTGGGCTAGGGTGCTGTGGCGTCAGCCTAGCTCACAGAAGCCTCAAACTCCTGGACTCAAGCGATCCTCCTGCCTCAGCCTCCCCGATAGCTGGGACTAAAGGCACGCACCATTGTGCCTGGCTAACTTTTTCTATTTTTAGTTATTTGGCTAATTTCTTGCTACTTATTATTATAGTAGAGATGAGGTCTCACTGTTGCTCAGGCTGGTCTCAAACTCCTGAGATCAAGCGAGCCTCCCACCTCGGCCTCCCAGAGTGCTAGGATTACAGGCATGAGCTACTGCGCCCGACCGTAAACTTTTAAAGCCTTTTAAACTTTGAACATTTTAAACTTTAAAATTTAAAAATTAGGCTGGGCGCGGTGGCTCACGCCTGTAATCCTAGCACTCTGGGAGGCCAAGGCGGGCGGATTATTCGAGCAGGAGTTTGAAACCAGTCTGAGCAAGAGCGAGACCCCGTCTCTACTATAAATAGAAAGAAATTAATTGGCCAACTAATACATACGGAAAAAATTAGCTGGGCACGGCAGCCCATGCCTGTAGTCCCAGCTACTTGGGAGGCTGAGGCAGGAGGATCGCTTGAGCCCAGGAGTTTGAGGTTGCTGTGAGCTAGGCTGATGCCACGGCACTCTAGCCAAGGCAACAGAGTGAGACCCTGTCTCAAAAAAACAAAAAAAAAAAACAAAGAAAGTTAAGGAAAAAAATGGCTCCTCACCTCCCCGCCATGAAAATGACATAATCTTTCTGAAGTATAGGGTCAACATCAAGAGCCTTCAACCACTCAGATTTGCTTCCTATAGACTTCCTTGTCCAAGAAAGAGGCTCCAGGAAGAAAGTGATAGAAAACCAGTGTCAAAAAGATGGACACAGCGGGGGTGAGGGTCTGCAGAAGGTAGCGCTGGCTGCAGCCCTGCCCACCCACCTTCCCCACCACAAAAAAAGATACACACGGAAACGGCTTTGGGTACAGAATGAACCAAACAAAGCTGCAGATCTGCTACGATTATGCCGAGTGGCAGAGTATTTACTGAGATTCGACCCTGGGGTACCCCTGAGAAAACTCTGGAAATAACTACAAAGTCTTTGGTGAGCTTCAATTTAAAAGCTATGGTCCCTGATTTGCAACATCCTAAGTAAATATTAACATTGTCAATCAGTTTTACCCCATGATGCGGAAATTAGCAGCAGAACCTGGTAGGCTGTCTGAACCACACAATATCATATCCATTACAGATAACACCGGAATTAGAAGAACACACAGGAAGGCTGTAAATCCCTACCTTAGTTTCAAATTAATTTCGAGCTCAACTATTAATACTCAAGAATCCACATTAGCATGTGACTGCTATACCACCATCTCCTCAAAGATCACCAGCTTAGAAAGTAGCCAGGAGCAAATGGAGAGAAACAATGGCGTGAAATTGGAAGGCCAGAGAGACACATGGGAGCTCTAACTGAATGAACAAATGGTCTTAATTAACACAAGTAAAATTTTGTTATTCAAAGAACAGTACAGAAAATTTTCCAAGACAGTTTGCCTTTGTGATAACACCCAGTTGCCAGTAGAGCTGATACTCAGCTGCATAACCAGAAGATAACCCAAACATCTGATTTTTTTTTTTGAGACAGTCTCACTCTGTTGCCTGGGCTAGAGTGCCGTGGCGTCAGCCTAGCTCACAGCAACCTCAAACTCCTGGGCTCAAGTGATCCTCCTGCCTCAGCCTCCTGAGTAGCTGGGACTACAGGCACCATGCCCGGCTAATTTTTTATATATATTTTTAGTTGTCCAGATAATTTATTTCTATTTATAGTAGAGACGGGGGTCTCACTTTTGCTCAGGCTGGTTTCGAACTCCTGACCTTGAGACCAATCCTCCCGCCTTGGCCTCCCAGAGTGTTAGGGTTACAGGCATGAGCCACTGCACCTGGCCTGAAGATTCGCTTCTCACTGCCTTTGTTTTGTCGTGTAAGGCAATGTCACCCAGCAGCCCAGAAATGGGCTTGCTCTTTCTTTGGTGTGCCTTTTATTCTCAGCTGTTCTTTTTTGCCACTGGTTTGCACAGGAAGTCCTCAAAGAATCTCAGACTAAACAGGAAGTGATTTGTTCCCATATAAAGGGGTACTAAAAGGAAGGAGGATGGGCAGGAGGAGAAAAGAGAATGGTTGACTTGTGACCTGGCAGCTAGTTGTCTCCTTCAGTGAATTTCATGTAAAATCCATAAATACCATGTAGGTTTATAAGCTGTGTGCATTTCTAAGTAAATCTGCTCTTCTAAGTTGGTCTCATCAACTTGGAAATGAAACCAAATTGCTGGAGATACACCTGGGTCTGTTTACCTTGCTCATATTTGGTTCCCCTCCTCTTTTTAGTAGACATTTTAACAAAAGGCCAAAATTGCAAGTGTATTTCTTTGGATTTAGGAAATTTACCATTTGTTTACAGCAGTGTTTTCCCCATTTAAGCTTCAAAATAAAAGGATTAAGTCATTTTGGAGCAGAATATCTCAATATTAATAATGTTAATGAGCATGGGCTTTGAATCCCAGCACTGTCACTTACTAGTTATGTCATTTAGGCACGTGAGGGTGTTTTCCTCAGTAAAATGGAGTGTCATGAGGCTCAAAATAAATAATATTTGGTTGCCGCTGCCACTTGGCCTCTGGAAGCAAAAAAAAGAAACAATATTTGCTTGGCCAGGCCTGGTGGCTCATGCCTATAATCCTAGCTGTTTGGGAGACTGAGGTAGGAGGGTTGCTTGGGTCCTGGAGTTTGAGACCAGGCTGAGCAACAGTGAAACCTCATCTCTACAAAATGTAAAAAAATTAGCCAGGCATGGTGGTACATGCCTATAGTCCCGGCTACTCTGGAGGCTGAGGTGGGAGGATTGCTTAAGCCCCAGGAGCTTGAAGTTGCAGTAAGCTATGATGATGGCACTGCATTCTAGCCCAGGCAGTAGAGTGAGACCCTGCCTCAGATAGATAGATAGATAGATAGATAGATAGATAGATAGATAGATAGATAGATAGATAGATAGATAGATAGGAATTGGTTGGTGCATAGTAAGTTCTTAAGTAGTCAGGTAGTTGCTATTGCTGCTACTACTTTTTGAGGAAGGTGACTCTGGGGAAGAACAGGCAAAAAATTATTTTATTTGTCTTGTTAGATTAGCTGGCTTTATCCTTTCCTAATGTGGAAGACATTGGGAATTAACCCCAGGCTAATGTATCAAAGGAATTTCTCATTTGGGACTATCTGCCCTAGCAGAATGCATGCTCTTATTTCTGGAAAGAGGAAATTATTTGTTTTCTGTTTCATCTTTTTATAGATTTTAGCCATGATATATAACATCTATTATCCACGTGTAGTGTTTGGAAAACTTCCTGTTTATTCCAGTGCATCCCGGGTAAAGGATGTGGATAATCATCTTATTGCTATGTTATTAAATAAACATGGCCTGCTTCTTATAAACATCTTTGTTCTAATAGTGCAGTCTCACAGTCACGGTGTGACTATGTGGCAACTTTCTGGCATCTCGTGTGATATTTGGAGGCGTGAGTAAGTGGGTCTCTATCCTGCTTGAAATCATTGCAGGAGTTTTCACACCACTGTGAGTTCTCTGGAAGCCTTACTGATGTTTAAGTTGCACATTCATACTCACTTTGTTTTTGTGCTTTCTTCTCTCTTTCCTGGACAGAAACCAAAGCCCAAACCCCGGCCATCCATCACAAAGGCAACCTGGGAGAGTAATTATTTTGGGGTGCCCTTAACAACGGTCGTGACTCCAGAGAAGCCGATCCCCATTTTTATTGAAAGATGTATTGAGTACATTGAAGCCACAGGTAAGAGTGTTACCTCATAACAATTTATACCTTTCACTGTCTACAGGATGTTTTCTGGAACCATCTGGTTTTCTAAGCCATCTTAGATTCTGGAATCAGTTGTTGTTGAGTGTGAGATGTTCTCAGAGAAGGAGCTGAGCAGTCCTGACAGCTGTCAGGTTTATGGATTCTGCATTTTTGTGCAGTTTCGAGGCTCTGTGTGGCATTTATTAGACCTTGGTGCATGTGGGAGCAGTTCTATTCTCGGAGCTGCAGTTGTGGCTGGTTGGGAACTTGCTCTGCGCTGTCTCCGCACCCGCCATAGCATGTAGCACACCGTCAGTTGCCTGTCTGTTCCTTCCAGAGCTGTCTGCTTCGTGAGGGTTTTATGTATGATTGTGTCTGCAGCACTATACTAAACACACAGTACATCTGGTGTACTTGAGACTCATGGATTAACAGGATTTTTGTCTGAGTAAAACAATCGGGGCTGGGCGCGGTGGCTCACGCCTGTAATCCTAGCACTCTGGGAGGCCGAGACAGGAGGATCACTCAAGGTCAGGAGTTTGAAACCAGCCTGAGCAAGAGCGAGACCCTGTCTCTACTAAAAATAGAAAGAAATTAATTGGACAACTAAAGATATATAGAGAAAAACAAATTAGCCGGGCATAGTGGTGCATGCCTGTAGTCCCAGCTACTCGGGAGCTGAGGCAGGAGGATGGCTTGAGCCCAGGAGATTGAGGTTGCTGTGAGCTAGGCTGACGCCACGGCACTCTAGCCCAGGCAACAGAGTGAGACTGTCTCAAAAAAAAAAATCAGATGTTTGGGTTATCTTCTGGTTATGCAGCTGAGTATCAGCTCTACTGGCAACTGGGTGTTATCACAAAGGCAAACTGTCTTGGAAAATTTTCTGTACTGTTCTTTGAATAACAAAATTTTACTTGTGTTAATTAAGACCATTTGTTCATTCAGTTAGAGCTCCCATGTGTCTCTCTGGCCTTCCAATTTCACGCCATTGTTTCTCTCCATTTGCTCCTGGCTACTTTCTAAGCTGGTGATCTTTGAGGAGATGGTGGTATAGCAGTCACATGCTAATGTGGATTCTTGAGTATTAATAGTTGAGCTCGAAATTAATTTGAAACTAAGGTAGGGATTTACAGCCTTCCTGTGTGTTCTTCTAATTCCGGTGTTATCTGTAATGGATATGATATTGTGTGGTTCAGACAGCCTACCAGGTTCTGCTGCTAATTTCCGCATCATGGGGTAAAACTGATTGACAATGTTAATATTTACTTAGGATGTTGCAAATCAGGGACCATAGCTTTTAAATTGAAGCTCACCAAAGACTTTGTAGTTATTTCCAGAGTTTTCTCAGGGGTACCCCAGGGTCGAATCTCAGTAAATACTCTGCCACTCGGCATAATCGTAGCAGATCTGCAGCTTTGTTTGGTTCATTCTGTACCCAAAGCCGTTTCCGTGTGTATCTTTTTTTGTGGTGGGGAAGGTGGGTGGGCAGGGCTGCAGCCAGCGCTACCTTCTGCAGACCCTCACCCCCGCTGTGTCCATCTTTTTGACACTGGTTTTCTATCACTTTCTTCCTGGAGCCTCTTTCTTGGACAAGGAAGTCTATAGGAAGCAAATCTGAGTGGTTGAAGGCTCTTGATGTTGACCCTATACTTCAGAAAGATTATGTCATTTTCATGGCGGGGAGGTGAGGAGCCATTTTTTTCCTTAACTTTCTTTGTTTTTTTTTTTTGTTTTTTTGAGACAGGGTCTCACTCTGTTGCCTTGGCTAGAGTGCCGTGGCATCAGCCTAGCTCACAGCAACCTCAAACTCCTGGGCTTAAGCAATCCTCCTGCCTCAGCCTCCCGAGTAGCTGTGCCCGGCTAATTTTTTCTATATATTTTTAGTTGGCCAATTAATTTCTTTCTATTTATAGTAGAGATGGGGTCTTGCTCTTGCTCAGGCTGGTTTCAAACTCCTGATGTTGAGTGATCCTCCTGCCTCAGCCTTCCAGAGTGCTAGAATTACAGGCACGAGCCACCGCGCCCGGCCCCTAAACTTTTTATTTTGAAATAATTTCAGATGTATAGAGAAGTTACAAAAATTGAAAGTTTTAACAAATTGTAAGTTAGAAAAATTCCCAGGTTCCCTAAATGCTAACATTTTACTATATTTACTTTATCATTCTTTCTATGTGTGAATCTTTTTATCTCTCTTTATGTTAATAAAGTGTTTGAAAGTTGTATATATGATACATCTTTAATTTTAAATACTTCAGTGGGTATTTCCTAAAAACATTCTCTTATGGAACCACCATGTACTTGTCAAAATTAAGAAACTGACATTGATCCAGAACTAATCTATCTGTAATGTAATCTAAAGACATTTTCATTTCATCAGTTTACCCACTAACATCGTTTATAGCAACAGACAAAAAATTTTTTTGGTCCAGGACCTAAGCCCAGACCACATATTATATTTAGTTGTCAAATCTCTTTAGTCTCTAATCTGGAACCGTTTGGGTGGTGTGTTTTTTGTGACCTTCATAGTTTTAAAGAATTACAGATCAATTCTTTTTGTAGGATGTTCCTCAACTTGGTTTGTTTTGGGTTTGAGGGGTTTTTTTGTTTGTTTGTTTTTTACTGTTTCCTCATGATTAGACTCTGGCTTTGCATTTCTGGCAGGAACAGGGTCGCAAAAAAAGGAAAAAGGATCATTGCTTTCTCGCCTCAAAATTTGCTACTCATTTATAACCAGGGCTCTGTGTTGAGACTCCCCCTCCATAATTTGCCTTCGAAGGTTAGCTCCTAACATCGTGGGTGGAGATTGGTTCTGGTTGGCACCTATCTTTTTTCCTGAGCTTTCTGATCGTTCATTTTCCCTTTTTCGTATTTCTGAAAATTGGGATGTGGTAAAGAAATGGCCAGTGAGTAGAACAGATTTCAGATTAATGTGCAGATGCTTTTAGGCCAGCGCAGCCCAGAGGCAGCCTCTGCTTGCGGTGCTAATAGGATATTAAACTTTCGCTGTCTCAGCTCCAGTTACATGGAAAGGCTGGACGAGGGCAAGTCACTACCACAGCTGCTATGGGACCTCCAGGAGAGCGATGGGAGTGGGAGGGTCGAGGGGAGCCTGGGAGTCAGACTGATTTTATGTTTCTGGCTCAAATGCCTTTTTCTCCAGTTTTCATCTACATGGAGAATTGGTTGAGGCAGTGGAGTCACTGCTCCCTTCTATAGCAGTGTGACTCCTAAGTGACAGAGACCATTGGCCAGACTAATCTGAGCGCTCTGATGCATGGCAGGAAGTGGAAATATCAGTTCAGTTTATCTCCCTGGAGTGGAGTGGGGGTGAGGGGTTACTTTTAGAGCCTGCTCACAACAGCTGTCCTGGGAAGAATTGCTCTGGATCAGGTACACTATCTTTACAGCTATGGGGGTCACAAGACTGAGGTTTTCAGTCCTGGGTCTCAGGGCCAAATTTGAGTCAAGGCTTTTTACAGTTTAGGAAATATCCTACCTCATAGGAACCCCCGGAGGGAGCTTCCAAGTGTCACTCCTCCCCACCCGGGAAGATCTCAGTGTCCTGGAGGCAGATGTCTGGTGCCTGGATGCCTTGGCTCTGCAGCACGTGTTCCCAGGCGCCCAGCCTCACCTGTTAGCCATTTCACTAAAAATTGCATCCTCTAGGCACAGTTTCTTTGAAAAATCTGGAGGACCAAATCTCCTCGCTCCCTCTTTTTGTGATTTTTAACTTTTTTCTTTTGGCAATGGGAGGGGCAGGGCAACAGTGATGACAGTGATCTCCCATGCAGGTAGTACTTTTCTTAATTGGTTTGCGTCCTGAGAGGTGACCGATCACCAGCACCTCTAGCAAGTGCTCCAGGATCTGCAAAAAGAGGAATTGGGCTCAGGGAGAAGCTGGTTCATTGGGGCAGAGGCACCTACTTTATATCTTGAATTATAATATATTCAGACCATTCCATATAAATAACAGGTAGGCCACGGTTTTGTTAGGGCATCTTAATTTTACTTAGTCCCTGTGGGATGAAATTCTCCCTGAAGTCAAGGAAGCTTGGCAGGTGTTGAAAATAATAATGCCAGAGACGGTTTGCCATCATGTTCCACTCACCCCACTTTCTGTTCCTTTGCACTTTTTTTTTTTTTTTTTTAAGAGACAGGCTCTCGCTCAGTCACCGAGGCTGGAGGGCAGTGGCGTGATCATAGCTCACTGAAGCCTTGAACTGGGCTCTAGCAGTTCTTGCGCCTCAGCCTCCTGAGTAGATGGGAATACAGGCGTGTGCCACCACACCCGGCTATGTTCCTTACACATTCATTGAGCGTTGATAGGATCTAGGCATGGCTTTGGGCACTTGGCGTGTATGAGCTCATTTCACAAGAGATTGTTTTGTTGCTCTGGTGGGAAGCTGGCCCTTGGGAGGGAGTCAGGGTATGTCTCAGTCTGTTGTCACTGTAGAGAGGACCTCAGTGTCAGGAAAGTACAGGGTTAGCCTGGCTAGAGCAAAGGTGGCTCTTCCTCTACTCTCTTGGGAAGAATCCTGCACAAAACCCAGTGACAGAACCAGAGCTTTGCCTCTCAGGCCAGCAGCTGCCTGGGCACAGTATTGCAGCCAAAGTTCACCTTTATTTTCAACATCCCTTTGCTGGAGGTCCTGCACTATCCTGCCTTGGGGGTTCTGTCCCTGTGCCTGGCAGGCTGTGCAATACAAGTTGTGCCTTCTTTATTTGCCTTTCTGGAGTACTGCCTTGATGAGCAGTGTGATCAGGTCAGCCTTGACCTCTCATTCCTAGTCGAGTGGGGAAATCCCAGATACAGGACCATGTGGTCACAGGAAGACAAACTTCCTGATAACTCATGGTTGATCTAAAAATAATTAGCTTATCATCTTTGTATGTGGGGGTGGGGGTGGCAGATTTTGTTCATTCAGCTAATATTTATTGAATGTTTATATTAAACACTTGCTATCTGCTAGGCACTATGTGAATTCAGGTTGCCC